AAACTAGCAGACTGGGCAACAAAATGGCAGATTAATTTTCATGTTGATAAATGCAGAGTAATGCATATTGGACAACATAATCCAACTATACATATAAAACAGACTAAAATTAGCTGTTACCACTTGAGAGAGAGCTTGGAGTCATTGTGGATAGTTCTCTGCAGCAGCAGTCAAAAAAATGTTAGGAACCATTAAAAAAGAGATAGAGAATAAGACAGAGAATATCTGCCTTTATATAAATCCATGGTACCCCCACATCTTGAATACTGCGTACAGTTGTGGTTGCCTCATCTCAGGAAGAGGTATTGGCATTGGAAAGTTCAGAAAAGAGCAACAAAATTGAATAGAGGCATGGAACTACAGCTGCTCCCCAAGTTACGGACCAACACTTGGTCCGTAACTTGAAGTGTTCATAACTCAGATTCCATAGAGTTACATGGCGACCGCGCTGTTCGTAAGCATGGATCGCCATTCATAACTCCAGTCCGCATTTACAACCGCTTTGGTCATAAGTGTGGATGGTCGTAAGTGGAGGTGGTCGTAATTCAGGGAGCGGATGTACTGCCATATGAGGAGAGATTAAAAAGACTGGGACTTGTCATCTTGGAAAAGAGGAGACGGGGAATATGCTAGAGGTCTATGAAATCATGGTTGGTGTGGAGAAAGTGAATAAGGAAAAGTTATTTACTTGCTCCCATAACACAAGAACTAGGGGCCATTAAATTAATAGGTAGCAAGTTTAAAATAAATAAAAGGAAGAATTTCTTCACACAATTCATAGTCAACTTGTGGAACTTCTTGCCAGAGTTTGTTGTGAAGGCCAGATCTTTAACAGGGTTCAAAAAAGATCTAGATGAATTCATGGAGGATAGGTCCATCAATGGTTATAAAACAGGATGGGCAGGAACGGTGTCCTTCACCTCTGTTTATCAGAAGCTGGGAATGGGCAACAGGGGGTGGATCTCTTGATGATTCCCTATTCTGTTCATTCCCTCTGGGGCGACTTAGCACTGGCCAGTGACAGCAGACAGGATACTGGACTAGATGGACCTTTGGTCTGAACCAATATGGCTGTTCTTATGTATTATTTAACAAATAGAAATGAAGGAGGAAAACATTAACTTCTCCATTTCCTGATTTGATTTTAAAGTGCAAAATCTGTTGCACCAACATGAGCGTTTTTTTCATTAATTTCTTTTTTTAAATTACTTAAGTGTTTGTAAAAACAGAGAGGGAGAAAAGAGTAAATTGAAAACACAGGCACAGTATATAAAGCTTTGTGAGAATCTGTTTTGCACAGCTGTTTGTTACATCACTATGTTAATTCTATAGAATTAACATAAAACACTTATTGCATTTTTCATGTATAAAACATTACATAGACATTCATCCTGACAGCAGCCATATGAGGCAAATTCAGGATTATTTATATTTTGCCAATTGAAATAGGGAGAGTTTAAAGGGAAACCATCAATTTTAATAATTACTTTTCTGCATGAAAATGTGCTATTATTATTCTCTGAAAGAGATTAGGAGAAACCAACTAGTCAGTGCATTTTTTAGGGCCTTTTGTTTTGACATTTCCGTGTATAGTCAGTTTCACGGTGCCCATGTATTGTCAGCTTCCTTTTTCACATGTAAGGGATACAAAGCAACTAGAGAGAGGAAAAGCATTACAAATACTTTAAGAAAATGTAACTATAAAAGTACAAAAATTGATTCAGAGCCAGGTGCAGAATCAGAAACTACTTTTAACGTGACTAGATTTCAGGATTACTGTTCCTTTCGGCATTTTGCCTAGGGCTACAGTGGATCACTCAGGTATAGAATGCAACATTAATTGAATCCCACTTCTTCTTCAAAGCTGATGATCCATACTTCTCATTATACACTCTTTTGTAGATACAGGAAAAGCCCAGCTGTGGGACTGTGGTGTGAGAACTCAAAAAAAAAATCACTTCTAAAATTGTTTATGGATGAAAATGAATTTTAATGGTTTATCATTTAGCTCAATGAAAACAGATTTTTAAACAAACCAAGCAAATATTCTTCAGTAGGAAATGGCTGCACATAAAATTTTAACGTTCAGCCGCTTTTGAGTTCAACTAAGCACCTTTTCTCTTAGCTCAAACAGCTGAATGTCGTTTGTGCTGACATTCCAAAACAATTTGTTTTGTGCTGAAATTAAGCAACAAATTAGTTAGTCCAAAAAGAGAATCACTGAAAAAATAAGCAAGTGAAAACAGGACGTTTAAGGTACACACTGGAGCAAGGACTGCCTTCTCTTGTATATATGAGTAGTATAGCACCCAGTGCAGTGTAGCCCTAGTTCTGTTTGGGAATTCTGGGTGATTGTGTAGTGTAAACAGTAACGACCTCTGTTATAGCTTTGATCTACTCTATATTTGAGCGAGTTTGTCCGTGCATCTGTCTGTCCAAAAACTCCCCCTTAAACTGTAAGAGCTAGGACTACCCAATTCAGTATACAGCTTCTTCCTATCATAACTTAAAGCACGGGAAGGGTTTGGTTGTGTCGGAAAAATGGGATGTGCCTGGAATTGGATTGCGTCTCATTAACCACATAGAAAAGAGAAAAATCACCAGGCAGGTGAAAGGAGCCGGCTGGGGGCACCCCCCTATCTGGGACTGCTCCAGTCCCAAGCGTCCTACTGCCCCAAGCAGTTTTAGGGAGTTCAAAGGGAGGGGTGGAAACTTCCCCTCCTACCCACCTCCCTCCAATTTGTACCAGAATATTGCTGGCTGTGACCCTTCATGAGGGATCAAGGGGAAAGTGCACCGTTTGCTGTATTCCTCGCTCTGAGTGGGGAGTTCTGGGGACAGACGAATCTGGATCTCCCCGAGCAGGTGGACATCCACACCTCCCCCAGCAGTGCCTGCTGGATGTGTTCTGGTGGGAAGTCAGGATGTGCCAGACTGGCTCAGACCAGGGGTCTGTCTTTGACAGTATAATGACCAGTACCAGCTGCTGCAGAAGAAGGTACAAGAACCCCATAGAAGGCAGTTGTGGAATAACCTGCCACCAGATAAAGTTACTTCCTGACCCTTTTTATTTAGAGGTTGTCTAAGTGCTTGATGCATGACCATCAAACTCATTTCCAAAATACTTATTCTATCTTTGCTGTAACTGAAAATTCTAATGGTCTGTATGAAGGTCTAATGTCTTTTGAGTCCTGCTAAGAAGCTCTTTGCCTCAATAATACCTTGTGGCTGTAAGTTCTGCAGCTCAGTTGTGTGAAAGGGTATTTCCCATTATCAGTTATGAATTTGCCACCTTTGTTACTTTGTGTTCATCAGATCCCCTCTGACTCTGCTTCTCTAAGACAGACAGTCCCAGTGCGGAGGTCGGAACCCCATCTAGAATTGCATTGCAGGATGCTGTAGGGACGGGTACAGAATTTTGCCACCCCAATTAAAGTAGGAAAGGTACCTCTGTGTATGTGGTTGTGGTACTGCAGCAGCTCTGAGGGGATGGTAACATGTCAGAATCTGATCTGTGTGTTTAGGTCCTATCTCCAGGGCTTTGTGCTGGGTAGGTGAGCAGGAAAAGGACTCTGTATCCTGTCTGCTTGCTCCCATACACCACCATGGTCCCATGCTACACAGCAACCACAGTGCCTTATGCTAGGGGCTACTTCAGGTCAGTGACAGCAGAGTCCCTCTGCAGCCCCAGCTGTTTGCCTTTGCAGTGCGCATGTGTGCGCGCGCGCACACATACACACACATACACACACACACACACACACACACACACACACACACACACACACACACACACACACTATTTCACGGCGGCAGGTCTTGTGGGCCCAACCATACACTCTCTGCCACCTGTGTCTGAGCTAGCAGCTCTTGCAGGGCCCTAGATAAGAGATGCACAAACTCAGCCTGGTTCCCCTCCCCAACACCCTTAAAATTAGGCTCTTCCCAGCACTGTGGACCAGCACCAGATCACCCACTGACAAGCCTCCCCCTTGGGTGGCAGATCAGCACCCCCCCGGATTCTGGGTTGCTCCAGGGGCTCTTCTAACTTCTCGTGGCTTCCCCCTTCCCTTCCTCCGCCCGCTACCAGCTGGCTCCTCCACAGCCTGGCGTAGCCAGAGAGAGTGCCCCAGAAACCTTCTCTTCTGCCCTCAGTACGCCATGAGAGGGATGTCCGAGGGCTATGCACAGGTAGGCTTAGACTCTGGGAAACGAGGAGCATGTGTCCTACTGAATTTGGTGCTAAAAGCATGAATTGAAAGGGATGTGCCATTGTTGGCAGATGGACAGCAAGGAGGTAGGAAGGGGGGAAGTCAGGTTAAAACGTGGGTGGAATGGGAGCTACTGTCCCTTGATACCCCCTCCACTTGGGTGGTGAGTTCAGTGGTCCCCTGGTGCCCAGGAAGCAGAAATGTCCCTGGCCCAGGGCTCGGCTCTACCAAAGTTCAAGGCCAGGTCTCTCCCCTGGCCCCACGGACTCCCCTGTGTATCCCCTGGCCCTGCATGCCGCTCTCAGGCCATTTAAAATGCCTTGTGGCAGAGTGGGGCTAGAGCAGCTGGCATTCACGCTCCTGCCCCATGGCAAATGGGAGCTGCGGGGGCAGTGCCTCCAGGCAGCAGTTTGTGGAAACCCCTCACCTCCTGCCTAGGAGTCACTGCCAGAGAGGGGTGCCCCAGATAAGCTCCACTCCCTCCCAGAGCCTGCAGCCCTACCCCTCCTCCTGCCCCCAAACTCCTTTCCACACCTCCTCCAGACTCCAAACTCCCTGCCAGAGCCCCACGCCAGTCCCCCACCCAACTCCCTCCCAGAGCCATAAGCAGGCCCCCTGAAAAGTTCTGCAGACCTGCTGCCCCGCCCCCCATGTTGGGGACTGTCACAGCCCATCTTGCAGGGAGTTCCATTGGTGCTGGCAATGAGCAAAGCCAAGCATGGGGGAGGAGGAAGCCATGCCCTGGCTGCCGTATGGTCATAACCCGAGTGGTCCTCTTCTTCCCCACAGAAACTGCAAGGAGAGAGCAATCCTAAAAATATTAACGACACTATCAAGGAATTGTTTGAGGTCATTCCGGGTGACGGGGAGCAGCTGCTGGAGAGAGATGCCTCCCGGTGCAGAAGGTGTGCTGTAGTGGGCAACTCCGGGAACCTTAAGCAATCTCAATACGGCCGAGAGATCGATGCTCATGACTTTGTGCTCAGGTGAGTGCAGAAGAGACTCAGCGATCTTCCTGCTGGTCTTGGCTATTTAACTGAAGCAACTGGGCTGCACATCGCAGCAGAATCCAGCACTTGAAGTAATTGGCAACACTTGAGTTGACTTCCATGGGAGCAGGATTGGGCCTTAGCACCTCGCATGTTACTTCCCCCTCCAGATCAGAGCTGGGAATTCGTGTCCTTTACTGAACCAGAGGGTCAACTCCTGCCAGCGCTGAATACCCTTAATTCTCAGTGAAATCAATGGGTGCGGAACTACGCTGCCCCTTGTGACATCAGGTCCCTAGCTGGCCAAATGCATCCTTAGCATCACTCCACTTGCATAACTGAGCTAGTCTGACCAGAGTGGAATTCAGCCCCACATATTAACTGTCCTGCTACGGCCTTGATGCCTTCTTTAAATACAGAGTGATGCTGAAAATGAGGCTGGGCTCCACGTAGTTGTGGTGTTTGAGTCTTCATTTAATACACAGAAATTTTAAATAAATGATATTTGCTTTTACTGCTGATAGTTGGGCTCCCAAAGTGACATTTACAAACATAAACTGACATGCAAGGCCAGATTTTGCTCACTTTTACACTGGTATACTCTCCTGTTATTTCCACTCCAGTTCATCTGATGAAGTCGGTTTCACCCACAAAAGCTCCTGATTCTGTTTATTTTGGTTAGTCTCTAAGGTACCACAGGACCACTCGTTATTTTTCACTCACTACTGACAGGCAGCTGTTTTGCTGTGGAATGAAATAGCTGTTCTGCAGTACAAGACCAGGTAGGACAGGAAGCAACTAGACAACACCAGTTGTGTTACAGTGGGCAGCTTCTAAGGTAGCAAATGAGGGCCATTGTGTCCAACAGAAGTGGCAAGCTGAATTTTAACCAGGCAGAATGTAACTACCCCCATTGGAATTTAGCCTGGAGATCTGGGCGGAATAAGCTTATCTTTGCAAAACGTGCCATGGGGGATTCAGCAGCCCCAGCTGTCAGAAGCTTTGTTTATGTCAACCACCCCTGTGAGCACTCACACTATTGGGGGGCAGTTTCAGAGGCAGCTCAGAGGAGAGTGATTCTGCCTGTGGAATTGTCATCACTAGCAGGACCCTCTGGTGGGAATTCTCCCCTCCCCAGCCCCAGTCTGTATGGCTGCAGGCCTCTCCAGTTTCCAAGGCTTTTATATAATAGCTAATAGCCACATGCACAGCTGCTTAATCCTGCTTTGAGATCTTGCCGCTTGAGATACCCTTACATCCTCGATTTTCTAGATGTTGAGTCAAGCCTGGGAAAACTGGAGCTCTCCCATGGACAAGTGGCAGCCCTGGATTTATCCCCTGAAAAATATGGAAGGAAAGATCTTGACACTTTTTAAGTGGTCTGCAGATAATTTTGACCCTGGTGTCAGAATTCAAGCAGCTTAATTCACCAGCTCGGCCTTGAAACCCTTTGGGAAAGTGCTGCTTTCCGGAGGAAGAACTCACAACAGGAACAGAGCTTAGCTCACCTTGAGAGTTCCCTTCCAATCAGAATGATTGATGGAGCCATGGTTCCACTCTTAGGCTACATCTAGACTGGCATGATTTTCCGCAAATGCTTTTAACGGAAACGTTTTCCGTTAAAAGCATTCGCGGAAAAGAGCATCTAGATTGGCACGGACACTTTTGCGCAAAAGCACTTTTTGCGGAAAAGCGTCCATGGCCAAGCTAGACGTGCTTTTGCAAAAAAGCCCCAATCGCCATTTTCGCAATCGGGGCTTTTTTGCACAAAACAAATCTGAGCTGTCTACACTGGCCCTTTTGCGCAAAAGCTTTGCGCAAAAGGGACTTTTCCTGAACGGGAGCAGCATAGTATTTCCGCAAGAAGTACTGATTTCTTACATGAGAACATCAGTGCTCCTGCGGAAATTCAAGCGGCCAGTGTAGACAGCTGGCAAGTTTTTCCGCAAAAGCGGAAAAACTTGCCAGTCTAGACACAGCCTAGATGTACTAATAGCAGTGGTATTGCTTTAAAATTGTGATATTATAATTAGAGCTTATTCCTCCTCTTCAGAGCAAATGCCATTTCGTGTCTTAGAAAATTTAGTCTGCATGACCCTCTGTGTGCACAAGAACAGTAGGCTAGTTCTCAAAATGATCAGCAATGTTGGTCTGCATTTTGTAGGCCAAGTATTATCCCTGGTTCAGTCGAAAAAGGCTTTCTTTCTGAACAGATCCCCCTCTAGACTGCCGCTTTTTGCCGACAAAGTGCTGAATTGGAAAAACGTGGTGGCCATTTTATGCAAATTAGGCAGGGCATATTTAAATCCTTGCCTCATTTGCAATGTCGACCTGCCTAATCTGCATCCCTCTGCTGACATAGGGATGCAGTCTAGACATACCCTAAGGCTGTGTCTAGACTGGCAAGTTTTTCCGCTTTTGCGGAAAAACTTGCCAGCTGTCTACACTGGCCGCTTGAATTTCTGCAAGAACACTGACGAGCTCATGTAAGAAAGCAGACAGCTCTTGCTGGAGCCAGTGGGGGCTGTACGCACACCTTAGTCCTGGAGGAGGCAGGCAGTGGCAATTCATGCAGATATTTTCTTTGGTTTCAAGCCTGGTGCATTTGTGGCGAGACCCTGGCTGTGTTCTGGATTCAGAAAAAACCCTGACTCCCACTGAAACAGCTACATCTGCCACCTGCTCAGACTCACTTGAGGCTCAAACAGCCCTTTCTTTGAGCCCTGGCCAATTACAATGTTTGTGAAACACCCTGAAGCCAGCTGAGTTTTATCTGGCTTGGGGCTTATATTTAGTAACCATAAAGGATCAGTGTGAAAGATGGAAGCTGAGGTTGCTGTGTACATGAAGGGCTCAATGGCAGGGGAGTAGCACAGGGTTCCTCCAATTTTTTCTACCACAGAGCCCTTATAGAGTCCTGAAAACTTGGTGCAGCCATTACTAACTCTTTCTCAATGTCAGCAGCAAGATCTTTAATGTGACACGCACCAGTATTACCTGACGATACCCCGCTACCACTTTTTTACTAGATTGCTCATACTTGCTCATTTTGTAGGATGTTTTTGTTGTGTTTTCATTGTCTGATTTAGCAATTTATTTCATCACTGAGAGTTTATTATTTGAAAGTGCGTCATGCTTTCCCTTGAAAAAAACTTGTGCCTTTTCCTTTGTATTCAGAAGGATTTGTTTCTAAATGCCTTCATAGTTTAGCAGGAATTCAGAACTATTAGAAAGCACTTTGTTGCACACCACATGCTGCGCATCACGAGCATCTTTAATTCCAAGGCAAGTAAATCGGAAAGACAAATAACTCCTCCAAGACAAAGAAACTCCTGCGTTTCTTATTACCTGCTGCTAACCTGATGAAAAAGAGGGGCTCCCTCTTTGTCAGCTCACTTTCCGATTTTTCAGTCACAAAAGGCTGGGATTGTCTTTTTTTTCCTGTCTTGTTTGTTCGTACCAGCAAAACTCTGATTGTTAGAAGCCAACTTTTCTTTTTTGGGGCACTTATCCATGGAGAATATGTTTGGTAATAAGAGTAGGCAGGGTTGTATTGTGAAACGCTGAATGAGAATGCAGCATGAAGAGAATTCTATTGCAGTGGGCTTTGGTCCAAAGAAAGCAGGAAATGCATATCATCTTAAATCTTTGACTTGTAAAGAGATAAGCTAGACCGTTGAATTGGATGTTTGTAGCATCTAATATATGTCATCACGCCTTCAGCTCAGGATCATTGTTTCACAGAGCTACACAGAGTATTAGCCCCTGCCCCTAAGGATGTTAAATTGCATTTAATCACCTAATTGAGTAGTTGATGGAATTACTCGATTAGTTGATATGGGAGGAAATTGCAGAGCTGCAATGTGGTTACCTGCTGACCCAGGGAGCTAACCCCATTGCAGCTCTGCCTTTTAAATATAGTAATAGCCGCCCAGCTCTCATAACATTTAAAAGGCAGAGGCACTGTGGGGGACTGGGCATGAGCCAGGACTCAGCTGTCCCAGTTCATGCCCGGTCCTGCTCTGTACCTCTGCCTCTCCCTCCCCTCCCACGGAGATGGTGCTGAGGGGAACCGGCTTTTAAGCCTGCTCCTCCCCACCACCAGCACTGGCTCCTGCTCCCCCCTCCCCTCTTGCTGCCTCTGATGGAGGGAGAAATGACTAGTCGAGTAGTAACTAAACTAGTCACTTGCATCCCGACCTGCTCCCATTTCATGTTGCAATGTCAATTTTTTTTATTGAATCAACAGTAATTTTCAATATAATTGTTTTATAAATAACCTGTCTTATCAATTTTTTATCAAAACACATCACTCTCTACAACTGTCGCTAATATTTCCCTGAAGAGCCCCTGGGCCCATTGGGTGGAGTCCAAGAGCTCCTTGGAGCACACTTTGGGAACCCCTTAGTGCATGGGAATGGGAGCCAGGGAGCTTGGATTTTAGGCCAGGATTTGACCTTTTTTCACAGTGCGATTTTGAACATGTCCCTTAACGAGTATGAGCCTCCATTTCCTCATCCGTGAAACGGGAGTGACAGTCGCCTTCCTCGTGGGAGTGGTGTAGGAGCCCGTCCATGTTTGGTCCTTGTGCATTGGGTTACACTAGTGTCACTGGGAGCAGATTGAAAAACTGTCACCACTCAGAGTACCTTGCTGGGTGCTTCCCTTGCTCACTCAAAGCAGTTTCTTAGTCCAGGGGCAGTCCCATTGAAATCAGTGGAATTCCTCCTGGGGTACGGTGCTAGCTGAGATGGCCCTGTGTTTGTAAGAGCGCTTTGCTCTGGCTTTGAGGGCTTCTGGTGGAACTGTGAACTGTCTCGCACGGTCCTGCACATGAGACCAGCTATTACCTCCACACAGAGACGTGCGCAGGAATTAAAACTTTACCCCCCTGAGGGGGAGCACAGACACTTGCTGTCTCCCCACCCATCTCCCCGTATAGCCCCCGCAGGCGTTCAATCTTCCATCCCTTCACCCTACCCCGACCCCATGGTCTTGCCTCTTTCCACCCAGCCCTGGCTCCTTCTCTCTTTCTACCCTGCCCCAGACCTGGCCCTGACAGGAGCTTGGTCTTCCCTGACTCCGTGGCCCCAGGGCCCGAGGAGTTCTGTGCCCTCAGTGATTATTGAGAGGCAGGGCCCCTGGTCCCTCCCCCCCTCCCCCCGCCTCACTCCTACACATACTGCTTTCTCAGTGCTACAATTCCTTGCATGCCCTTCAGATCCCTTTAGCCTAGTCTAGCTAATGTGATGTAGGTCCATTCCCCTATATAGTGTCACGGCAGCATAGGAGAGCCTTAGAATGGCAGCCATTGAGGGATTCTGGTTGGGTGAGGCTAGCCTTGAAATCACTGCCGCCCTTGCTCTAGCTGGCTTTGATCTCACTAGATTATAGTTAACTCAGGTAGCTCCCCATGCTGCAATCACAACCCTCCCACGTAAACATACTCTGGATGGAAACGAGGACCCTACCCAGTGACTGTATTCTCCTCCCACCCCAGCAAGCAAGTCATGGAAATGATCAGAACAATTTCTCCTCTTGATTTTTCCCCCCTCTGTCTCTGCTTTCTGGGTTGCAGAATGAATCGCGCTCCAACCGCTGGGTTTGAGACCGATGTTGGGAGCAAAACGACTCACCACTTTGTTTACCCCGAGAGCTTCCAGGACCTGGCAGAAAACGTCAGCATGATTGTGATCCCCTTCAAAACGCTGGATCTGCGCTGGATTGTCAGTGCACTCACCACAGGCACCATAAACTTGTAAGTAAAGCTGAGGTCTACCAGTGCTCAAACTGAGTGGGAACGTAGCCGCTGTGTCATCTTTCTAGGGGTGCCCAGGCCTGTGAATCACCTTGTTTCTCCCTCTCCCCCCTGCAATGACTCCTTCAGTATGAGGGAGTCACTGGTAAGCCTTCAGCCCATCAAGCCCTCTTCTCAGAGCTCTGCTAGCTCTCACTTTGCATGGCAGGTTCACACTTGGTCCACTGCAGTCCCAGAACTCCTCAGAAGTATTCCTGTGTGACATCCAGCCCGTCACTGGGCACTTGTGTTCCCTTTAAGCTGTGCCACCCAGTTGTTTAGCAGAGCTCCCCAAGTGCTCACAACTAGCAGCATGTGTTTTACTGGTGGTGCACATCTGCATATGCTTTGGTGCACGTAACACAATTTATTCTGCACATAGATGGACAAATTTAGAGGGAACACACCGGCTTGACTAGAGGGAACACATTGGTATACACGCCGGCTTGTTTGAGTCAACAGAAGATTCACACTTACTGCCCCAGGATTGAGATGTATTTATAATAAAAACAATAATACATTTATCAACAAAGATCAGAGATTCAATGCTTCAAATGAGTGCTTACTAAGAATACTGGAAGCAGAATTGATTACAAGCCGGAAACAAAATATAAAACGCAGTCCTTGCTCTAAACTTATCAATGGTTATAGAGTAGATTCTCTCCCAAGGATTCAATCTTTGACGGAGCTGCCAGTTGTGAGTAATAACTAGGATCCAGGTTTTGTTGAACAGCCTCACCCTTCAAGGAGTTAGACTTGGTGTCTTCCTGTCTTGATTTCATATCCTTCGGTTGATTTGGAATACAAATGTAGATCCCATTCTGTTTGGCTTGCAATGCTAAACTTTCAAATGAACTGAGAGAGGTGAATAAACATCCTATGTCTTCTAGAATCATAGAATCATATTCTAGAATCATAGAATACTGGAACTAGAAGGGACCTTGAGAGGTCATCAGGACCAGTCCCCTGCCTTCATGTCCCTGATAGATGTCTGCCTAACCTGACCTTAAATATCTCCAGTGCTGGAAATTCCACAACCTCCCTAGGCAATTTATTCCAGTGTTTAGCCACCCAGCCAGTTAGGAAGTTTTTTCCTAATGTCCAACCTAGATCTCTTTTGCTGCAGTTTAAGCCCATTGCTTCTTGTCCTATCACCAGAAGCCAAGGAGAACAATTTTTCTCCCTTCTCCTTGCAACACCCTTATAGGTACTTGAAAACTGTTGTTCTGTCCCCCCTCAGACTTCTCTTTTCTAAACTAAAGAAACCCAATTCTTTCAGCCTGATGGAAAACGTGTTTGCCAGCTCTGCTTCTAAAACACATCTTAGGAATATAGCTTCAACATATGAACATAACTTTTTAAGTATCACCCATAAATACACACAGTGATTATGAGGATCTGTATGATGTAAGCTTCTATTGGCCACCTTACAAAACCCTTTATGGATATAAATATTATGAACCTGTATTTGTTGGACCTGATTGGAGTTGCTGTTACGGAACATTGAATCCTTTGCCATTTGGCATTGAGAGGTTCTCAGATAGCTAGCATAATAGACTTCAAGAGAGCCCCAAAGACAACAGACTCAGATTAGGGATGTAAGCAACTAGTTGACTATCTAATAAACAAAAGCTTATTGGATAGCCTATCCGAGGCAGCAAGGAGAGAGCAGGAGCTGGTGCTGGGGGAAGGAGGGAAGCCAGCTTAAAAGGCAGTCCCCCCAGCACTGTCTCCACAGAGGGCAGTGGGGTAATGGGGACTGGGCATGAGCCAGGAATCTGCTGATTGTGCCCAATCCCAGATGCTGTGCCTCTGCTTTTTAAACTTATAAAGAGCCTGCTGACTGCTGGAGCAAGAACAAGGGAGCAGCAAAGAGGTGGGGTCTTGACGCTACATAGATTTAAACTGTCTCCAGCTGCGTGACTCAGGCAGAATCCAGAGGTTAAGTAAACAGAGCACAGGAGAAGAACTCAGAACCAGGTAGGGAACAGCTGGCCCATGACTTTGTGTCCATCCCACTGCTCCAGCACCTCCCTCTTACCCTCCCCATCCACTTGTTGACCCAGCTAGCTAGGGAAAGGGGCAAGGGCAGTCTCCAAACATCTGCTGAACTAACCCGGGGCAGAGGGGCAATTCTTCACTGAAACAGCCGTTGTTGAAATCTGAGGCAGAAAAGAAGCTTATGCTTGTAATTTACAAAACATCCCTGCTTCACGTTCCACTTTGGTAACTTCATCGCACATTAACTTGTAGTAAAACCAACAGGACAGCCTTTATTCCTCCCACACATTTTTCACAAGCAGTCCATATGGTGGCAATTCAACTCTCTGTTGGTAATTGCATTTTGCCAACATTGAACTACAAATGCAATCAAACTGACTTTTCTTTTGCTCAACAAGCAGTCACTGGTCCTTCCCCAGGCATTGTTTTTTCTGTCTAAGGAATTGTGTACTTAAGTTAGAAGTGATATCCTGGTTATAAATCACAACCTTAGGACATTTACCCCCATATAGCACACATTAGTGGTGATGTCTTTGTGTCCGGCTGCATGCAGAGAGCAAGTCTGTGTCAAACTATTTCATTCCCAGAGAAAGTTTTCTGAAATGTTTTTGCCCTTTTCCCAACTTCAGTCCTTAAAGCAGAGAGGAACAGTGAAAATACATTTTAGATGGATATCTTTACCCACTGATTATCAGAGCTGTTTGAAATGTTTCTAAGGAAATCTTTTTCTACAAAAATCCAAATCTGGCTTTTTCCCAGAAATGAAAGCCAGATTTTTATATGCTTTTTACAGAAATACTTTCAGTTTTCTCAACGCTTCCTTTTTTTATTTTTTTTATTTTTGTTTGTTTCTAATCCCACTTTTGCTTGGGAGACAAAGTCACATGCTGGGGATTTTCAAAATCCAGCATTTTCAGAACTGGAAAATCTGTTTCAACGAGGGGGAAGAGAATGTAGCTTGTGGGAATTCTGGTTTGTTTCAGTAAATTAATTAGAGATGCAGTTAAAAACTGCAGAATTTTTTTTTGAAAAATTGGTACATTTTGAAAAGTGGCAGAACAAACGCATCTTTGTTTGTTTGTTTGTTTCCTTCAGGTTCATTTCCTCCTTCTCTCACTCCCACCCCCAACTAATTCTATGGTTAACAATCTGAGATAAAAGCTTCAGAGTGATAGCCAAGTTAGTCTGCACAGGATAAACTTAAAAAACAACAAATAGTATGGTAGCACTTTATTATACCAGAATGGCTTGTGCATGTGACGTGAAGGAAACTTGGGCTTTTCTTTTTGAACAAAGGACTCTGGCTTTCAACAAGTACAGGGACTCACAAGCACTACAGTAGCCACCAAGAACTTTACCTAGCTACTGGCAACTTCTGACTCTTCCCAGCTGTGTGAAAGTGCCCTGAGGGCCAATGGAGTGGGGCCATGCACTGTAAGGGTTGGGTGCGGGAGGTGACTTTTTCTGTTAGAGGTATTATTCATACTTGTTACTATGCCGCTGAAAATAATGAAGCCGTAGGCAGAACTATTAAGAGGGAGGGAGTCTCCCCCAAGTGGTGAAATGTAAAAGGCATGCATCAGGCTGAAAAGGAAACTTGGCAGTTACGGTGCAATTCATTTCTGTGTGGTCACTTTTTAATGAGATGTTGAATTGGTAAGCACGTTTTCCATGAATTTGTTATATTTATTTTCAAGTCTCATCATTCTTATTTAACCTTTTCCTGGTATATTTTTAAGAAAATAGGCTTTTCTTTTACTTTAAAATATGCCATTTGTTTGATTTTTTTTTATTGACTTTTGTACTATTTTCTTTAACAGCACATACGCGCCAGTTCCACGTAAAATCAAGGTGAAGAGAGACAAGGTGAGTTACGTCTGTTTGTTTATTCTGTTAATTATCCTGCAGCAACTGGTGCCACAAAAACTGTGGGAGGATCCGAGGAAGTATGCAAGGAATCAAAATGCCCACAGTTACATTTTTAGCTAAGCTAAAAATGTAGCTAGCCTTGTGGTTCAGCAATAACTAATTGAGGCTAGGAGGAAACTTGTGCCATTTCTGCCCACTATGATTTTATAGCTTACTCGGGTACTGATCGGAAACATCTGGCCTCCTGATCCCATCCTGTGCAACAATTTCTATATTTCAGCTTGAACTAGACTAAAGTCTAGAAGAACACCGCTTTAGCATTGAAAAGGATATATACTATGTTTACTTTGCATCAGCAATTATATGCGCTTTTTTTTTTTAATTAAGTTGCTTGAGCTCAAGGGAGGATTCTCATGTTCTTGGCCCGGAATGTTCAATCTTTCTCCGTCACACTCCTAAACTTTCTTTTCAGCCTGAAGCCTCTCCCCTGACTATTTAATATATTAATTCCTAGAAAGAGAATTCTACTTTAAATAAGTCAGTCGTTTGAGCTGAGTGTCTAACAGCCTGTAGGCCAGGAAACCTTTCAAAAAGCACGCAGCTTAAGATTTGTGAGGTTTTTGAGCAGTATTTCCTGATTTTGGCATGGAAGAATCCTGGTGGGGGGTTGCGACCCTGTGTTCCAGGATGCAGTGCTACTTAGCGAGATTTGGCCCAGCTGCCCTCCACCGTGACAGGCATTGCAACCTCTGAGTGAGAAGGGTCATCGCCCCTCACCCCACCCCAGAGAGTTTGGTGGCCTCTCTACTCCAGAGGAGTGCCCCCTCCTCCCCTCCAACCCATTGGGAGCTGCTGGTCTAAGGAACTCTTCCTTAGGATGCACAAAGAGGAAGTCAAGTTCACTTTAAATAGATCAGAGGGTGGAGCCCATGAAAAACTCCTATTGATTTCAGTGCCAATCAGGCCTTCAGAGCAAGGTCAGCCTGGGAAATTCACTTCCCATAAAGAGGTCAAACAAATGCTTCCAGCTTCCGGGCATACCTTGAGTATTGCAGTTATAGACATGGGAGCTAACGGTGCGGGGGCTCCTGGCCTAGTACCGTCTCCTTAGCCAGCACTGCAGATGAGGGGAGGGGAGAGCAGTGGATGTTGCCTTTCCACTTCACCCTGAATAGGGAGCAGCCACACAGAGAGAGGCATGGACTAGGCCTGAGTCTATCAGTGCCACCCAGGAATGAGGGACAAGAGACTTGGGGAGCTGCCAAGCACACCACTGCCTTAACTGAACTGGGAGAAGGATTTGGGACAGCGCCTAGAAACAGGAGCTAGAACACTTGCTGCACTTTGGAGCTTTCCTGCCAGGGCCTCTAGGTGCTATGTACATAGAAACCTGCCCCATCCTTGCCCTGGGAGGAAGGTGGGTAGGATTTAAGCTGTACGAAAACAGAGCCTCAAGGAACTTTCTCAGAACCACATGGTGAGACTGAAGCTGAGCTGGAAATAGAAGCCTGAGCCCAGATCCTTAACGGGTGATGTTTACCAGGTAACAGTTAACCGGTATCCAGGGAACAGCCCCCTGCCTTTGTCCTGCCATGGGCAGCGGTCTGCTCCTGACCCGCATGGGGCTAGAAGCAGCACCCCCCATCCCCGGCCGTGCCTGCCCCATTTAATCAGTTAACATTTAACTAGTTAACAGATTAAGCACAAGTTTACATCCTTGTTAGGGAGAAGTCCCTGTTACTAACTATGAACGCAACTCTCTGATTCTCCACAGATCCTTGTTTATCACCCCCGGTTTATCAAATATGTTTATGACCACTGGCTGCAGCATCATGGAAGATACCCCTCGACAGGCATTCTGTCCGTGATATTTGCACTTCACCTATGTGACGAGGTAAAAAACAAAGGGTTCCTTTTCCTTGATTCAGAGTACGGTGATACCGCGTTAGTCAAGGGCTGTAACTGGAGGAGATGCTAACATGAGATCTCTAGATCATTTGCTCATCTTTATCAGCCTCTTTCCATCGCCTCTTCCTCTTACTTAGAGTTTCCTTCCGCGTTTAGGATTTCAGCTATTAGACGATACGTGTCTTTGACCTGGAGTTGGAGATGAAGTGGGACCTGCTGTGG